AATACTGCATATAAAAAATTCTGCAAGTTCTTGCGCCGACTAAGTAGTAAGAAACGTAAGTGTATCGAACGATCGATGTACCTTGTGTATAAGCACATTAGTATTTCATAATTCTATTGCTTCAGATTTATAAAGTTTTTACATATTTTGAAACGTTACAGAGTTATTAATCTTTATAAACTGAAATTTTTAATTAATTATTATAGAATAGTGAGAAATATTATTACTTCTATTAATACAGTTGCTCTAGAAAATTTATTATAAAGGGTATAAAAAAATACAGCTCTTACATATGTATATATAATAAACGGCAAGTTTTGTATTCAAAATATATTACAAAAAATAAAATCTCGTTTATTTTTCACGATATTTTTATGTAAAATGAGATTGATTTCTACAAAAGATGTTTTAATTTTATTGCAAAAATGTAAATAAATCTATATTATTAAAACCAAATATATATTTTATTTTTTAAATAATTCATTTTTCGAGCTATGTTGATTACTGATTAAACATTTATTACTTGCTATTTAAGTGAGCCGAGCTCTTTTTTTAATCTTGTATAATTATTACACAATTCAATTAAATTTATTAATTAAAGTGAAATTTATTGAATAGTTAATTTTACATATGCGCGTACACATACACATATGCACAGATAATTGAAAAAAATTTAATTAAAATTCTATATCTAAAGATTCTTTTTTAAATAAAAGAACTTATTTATATGTTTTAGAAACTCTTTGTTAATATATTACTTATAAATGCTTCAATTTTTTCTTCAATAATAGTTCTATGAAATTTTCTTGTACATTGTCACGTCATCAAAAGAAATCGATATCGCCTTCATCTTATTCTTCCGAGAAAAAAAAGTCTACTGCTCATCGACGCGTTTCATCGAGTGTCATTCAATTTCCAAGACGATTTCTCGCTGATCTGATTTCTTCGAGTGATGGACCGATTTCTACGATGACGCGTTTAATAAATGTCGTCAAGTATATACGTGCTTTGTGTATCGAGAGCGCGTGATCCTCTGACATTTACACCGCCTCTTGGCGATGCCGTATTTACTCTTGGTCGCACCTACCGTGTGTGATGTGGTTTTTCTATCTATTCGAGAGTGAGAACAGATCGAGAAAGCAGGAAAAAGAGAGAGAGACGAAAGGGTTAAAAGGAAAGTCGATGGGTATCTGTTATCCTCGATATTGCTTTACGCGAAGCGTCGAGGGAAGTTCTTTCCGTTACGGTAACAAACTGAATATCTCAATTGTAAATGGCAAATAAATATGTTTTGTAGTCATACGAAGTAATGCAATCAAGTGTGATAATAAATCTGATATATTTCGTGTAGGCAATAAAAACGATTACCTATTATATTAAAATTAACAGTTACTCACACACTGATGATTTTTTAAATTTAATACTTTCTTTAATATTCTTTTTTTCTATATTTAATTACTATGTAAAGTAAGTTATACAAAAATTAAAATCATTTTATAATACAATTATAATTGTGTATAACAATATCTGATAACTAATCACAGTTATACTGATAATAGAACATTGTAAAGAATATGTCATACAAATCGCATTTAGTAGGTCTAATCATAAAAGATTGCTTCGAACTCTATTCTGTCGCTTTTCTCTGGCTTGATTAATCCCTCGATTAATCCCTTTTTTATTATCTGCGCAGCCTATTTCGTTAAACCGAGCACGATTGCCTCTGACGACAAAGAAACCTTCGGTATAACGAGGGACGCCCCCTTAAGCCGCGCGAAATGCCACCATGAGGACCGATAGATAAATATATAGATATTTTCTGAAGCTTTCTTGCTTCACAGGTAGGGGCTGCATACTACGGGAAAGGTCGAAGTCTCCTCCGATGCGCGCGTAACGCGATAAAAGGATCCGCAGCATACGCGATGCAGCTGCAACACCGCTTCATTGCGCTTTTTGTCGCAAGCTGGATTTAGCTAGCTACATAACTGACTAGTCGGCTGGATTTTCTAGCCTCGACTGTCACTTGACCCATTTTCTTCACACGATGGATAAGCGCGATGTTTACCTGGTTTTTTTTAGTCCCTTTCAAGAACCTCGGTAATTATTCTGAGATTCTATCTGATTTTTTCGAAATTTTTAGTAGAAACACGTTCAAAATATTATTAATTAAAATAATTTTTTATTACTATATTTCGGTTTATACTTGGAAAGTATAAAAAGATATATATTGGCAAAAAGTACAAAAATATATTATAAAGTGAAAGGATAAAGTAACGTGAGATGGAATTCATTTAAAAACAATGAAAAATTAATAAATAAAATAAAATAAATAAAAATATTTGTATGATTTATCTTTTATATTAAATTATTATATTATATTTTGTGTGTGTGTGTGTGTGTGTGTGTGTGTGTGTGTGTGTTATTTTCTATATTATTTCATTTTTACATTATTATTTATATCCATTTAGTTTTTCTAAACATATTCTTCTAGGATATCTCCTACACATCATGATTTAATTTAGCCGGTGAGACACACTCAGTATCTTGCCAATGTAGCGGTGCTTCGCAGAAACGTGACAAGATTTTTTTCAAACTTACTTCACTGTTCAATTCTCGTGATAAATCGGCGACAGGTACAAGATTTTCGTATCTGTCATCGATGGTAATCATGTGCCTCGCGTACGATGTAACCTACATTTCGGAATGAGTTCCTATTAAATCGTTTATTATATCTCGTCGTAATTAATGAACGATATATAAATTCCATGACTTATATCTACAATTTAACATACACAATTATAAGTGAATTCTATTATAAAGTCTGTTTTTTATCGAAGAACTTCTTAAATTGATGCACACGGTGTAATACCTAAATTGAAGTATGTGAAATAAATTATATTTCTTTTCAACTTATTGCGCTAGTTTGCACGAGTTCAAAAAGTTCATCGATAAAGAATAGACTTATTAATTATTTACAAAAAATTTTGCATTGGATATCAAAATCTAATTAATATTAATTTCACGAAATATACAAAACAAATGATATATTCGCGATCTTCAGTCTCTAGTTGGCAGTAAATATAATAGTTGATGAAAATATTGCGAATAGGTCTGTTTTTTATTGCTGCAATCTCTGAACTGGTGCACAGTGCAATAAGTTGAAATGAAATATACGTTTGTCTCACTTCAACTTACTTTACCGTGTTCAGAGAGTACAGCAATAAAAAATAAACCTAATATGTCAGAAGACAAGACATCATCCACGTGGAAAGTGATCGTTCGATGTATTCATAAATCGGAAGCCTCATATTCGTCTTCGAGCTCAAAAGAAGGTGATTCTTTATTTTCAATTAATAAGATTTTCAATCAAAGATATTCTAATTCTTTCTGTTAAATATAATTTTTATAGAAATTTTTATAGAAAATTGATTTAACCTCTTTCTATTGTTAAAATGATGATGAAGTTACATCATATACATACAATCATTAGATTTAAGTTTTAAGTAACAACTATTGTCACATTTTTTTATATTAAAACATATAAAAATACATATAACAACAATACATATAATTATAATTATTATTGTGATATTAACCTTCAATAATTTGATTTTTTTATTACAAAGAATTTCTTATGTTTCGTGTTTACTTAAATCTGTCTATTTTTTTACCTTATAAAGAGTAAAATGTATGCCCTTCTATGTTTTATACTTTTTTTATTATATTGATTAAGTAGGCACAATATATCTTTAAATATTTATAATATTAAAGTACGATAATTCTATAAACACTTTTAATATGATATTCATTAATTACATCACGATCACTTTATCACATCTATGTAGTGTGAGCTATTTTAGATATCTCGTCTATGAGTCAACATTTTCTTATGACATTTGTAATGTGTTATTAAAATAACCTACGTACTCCCAGTACCTGTTTTTTAACAACAGATATTATGAAAGATATTATGAAAAGTATGACGCAATTGAAAAATATAGATACCTTTAATAGCTAGGATAATTGTTGATGATAAAAATTTTGCTGTGAAAATATGTATTTGTGCGAGTCTTTTGAGAGAGTTTACATTGCAACGGTAACAGAACCAGTTGTTTGCAATCATTTACATCGTTTGTTCAGATTCTATCAAGGTTATTTTACACGTATTCTAATAATTGCCTTTCTGATAATTCTGACGATAGAAAACATTTTTCAATGTACTCGTACATATTCGTTCAATTTTATGTAAACCTATACACATTTATTATTCTTTTTTTGGATGATGAAAGGAATTGTCAACAGACTATTTTGCCTGAGTTCTCATTAAAGAATCTATTCGCGATATTAATGTTGGAGGTCATAAAATTGCCGAATAGTTGTAAATTGTAAATTTCGATAATTTCTTTGAATCTGCACCACGCGATCATTTACTTTACGAGTTGCAAGGTTCGAAACTATTAGTAGTATAGCAAAAACAAATCAAGGATTAAGTTATTTCTGGTCGCCCAATGTCCAAGAATTACATGTTAAAATAGCGACGATTATGAATCTGAGGGGTGTTGTAATTTATATAGAACGCTTTCCAGATTTGTGACTTGTAATGATATGTGTGTGTATGTATGTGTGCTTTGTGCGTAATCTTTTTTTACATTTCTGCGAAATATAAAGCTCTCAGAGAGAAAATTAAAAAAGAGAAACATTTCACAAAATAATAATATAAAAATAGTTGATTCTAATATAATGTATACGTATTTAATGTTCTTTATATTAATAAATTACATTTTGCAAACCAATATGTTGCATTTTGTCATAAATGTTTTAAGACAATTATTGTTGATGTAAAGACAATTTTGCTTACTTAGATTTATGCAAAATAGGAGCAAGCTATCCTCGATTCTAGAGGGCTCTGGGCGTTTTCTGCTTTTAGAGGAAGTTCGGTTTCCTACTTTTGTTTCTATTTCTTTTCCTGCACTGTGGTTTTTTCAAATTTGTTTCTATGGGTGGTGCAATGTACCCTGCAGGCAAGGATGGCAGCAAGGTAACGACTGTAGTAGCGACTCCTGGTGCTGGTCCGGATCGTCCTCAGGAAGTCGCATACACCGATACCAAGGTCATAGGCAACGGCAGCTTTGGTGTGGTATATCAAGCGAAACTCTGCGATTCGGGAGAGATGGTTGCTATCAAGAAGGTTCTCCAGGATAAACGATTTAAGGTGAGCATTTATACGTTGTATCGATATAACGAAGTATAAATAAAAATGTATATAGAACATAGTAACAACTGCTATAAGTTAATAATTGTTAAATAATGTATTGAAGCAACTTATTATTACATAATTACACTAACTACGTTCTTGTTTCCATTGTGTTTTATTTAATTTGATTTGATTATATTCTATTCTATCTTTTTTTATTATATGTTTATGATTTTACTAGATATTTTATTTTATTTTTGTTTTACTTTTTATTTTATATCTTATTTTCTTGTTTATTTCATTTATTTAATGAACGATGAGTGTACTAATAAGTTTTCATAATAAAACTTTATTTTTTTTCCAGAACAGGGAATTACAAATTATGCGACGCCTCGAACATTGCAACATTGTGAAACTCAAATATTTCTTTTATTCTAGTGGTGATAAGGTAACTATCTCATCTCCATCTTCCTTAAATTTTAAGTGAAGATGAGTTCGCTATCTATTATTTAAGAGATATTTCAATAATTATATCAATCTATTAAAATTTGCGAAAAAATGATACGCAGTATGTAATTTAAATGGCGGTACAACTTCCATTGATTAGCACGCAATTATCAATTTTATCATAATCGGGTTGTTACGTAAATGACACGTTTCTATAAATAAAACGAAAGATGTTCATTTAATGCATGCCATATTGTTATGTTATTTTATAGAACATCTTAACCGCGACTAATCCGGTTTTTCACGTTGACGTAAGTTGAAGTGCACCCAGTAGTAGTTTGTACGAGAATCTTCCTTTTGGCGAGAAAAAATCTCTAGGCGAATTATCGCTTCCACATAGGAACATCTTCACAATCGTATCATTCCTTCGAAACGTCATTGTTTTAATGTCGATCTGGGTCCGATTAGATTACGCTGCTTCGCTAGTTTTGTTAGTACGTAACGTTTCTGAAGGCGTGTGTGATAAATGTTAATAACACCAGGGCATCGATGTGTGTGTCCAAGAGAAATAATAAAGATGAAATGTATAACTTAAATGATCCCACGGGGTATCCCACAATTTGCTACAATTATTTTACAATTTTAATCACAGATTCTGGTGAAACCCATTCGACTTTAGTGTATTTTATTGTAAATTTCAGGACCTTAATAACATGAAAAGAAGAAAATTTTCATGTATAAGAGTGAATAAATAAATAAAATAATTATACTTCTACATATTATATAAATAACATAATTACAGTCTAATAATTTTTAATTCTTGATCTATTTATAAAAATAAACGTGCAATGTTGAAAACTAGAAGATAAAATTATAAAAGAATAGATGATCAAAGATTGTGGAAATAGTTCAAAATTATTATTTTTTGCTGTTAGATTAATTAGAAAGAATTTATTATTAAAGTTCCAGTCCGCGCGAATTGCGGGAAACTCTACATTCGAGTACGTCGTCAATGTTTTGGGTTTTGGAGTAGTGTGCCTTTGAGACGACAAATATTTGTAAACAGACCCTCGCTTGTTGAATGAAGGTTGCAATGAAATTTTCTTATTTCGTTCTTTTTTTTTAGAAGGACGAGGTTTATCTTAATCTAGTCCTGGAATACATACCCGAAACTGTGTACAAAGTCGCTCGACATTATAGCAAAAGCAAGCAGACGATACCAATCAGTTTCATCAAAGTGAGTTATTTTTTATTAGTTTTATAATTTTTAGTTATTTCTAAAATCGTAATATAACAAAAACAGAAATTATGTTTGTAAACCTATTTAATACTGTTTTTTCAATTAATTTTTAAAAGATCATAGATATTATATTTAATATGTAGTTCTGATTGCATAAAAAGGAAACATTCTTTTCATGCAATATTCGATATCTAAGAATTTTTGAGATTACGAATTATGAATCTGAAAATTTAATTTACAAGATTTGTAGGTGTTAAAAATCCGTCATTTTAACTTTATTATTATTCTGATCTCAGATTTGTAATCAGTGGTTTCAAAAACTTAGAAATAACTGTAGAGAAAATTTGAAAAAAATTTTATAAAGATTTTTATAAAGATATAATAAAAAAATGTGTTTTGTAAATTTAATCAGTTATATAAATAATAAATTTTCAGATATATAGATAATAATCTTTTCTTTGTTTTTTGCAGTTGTATATGTATCAACTGTTCCGTTCGTTGGCGTACATCCATTCGCTGGGTATTTGTCACAGGGATATAAAACCACAGAATTTGTTGCTAGATCCGGATACTGGTGTCTTGAAGCTATGCGATTTTGGTTCAGCTAAACACCTTGTGAAGGGCGAACCAAATGTGTCCTATATCTGCAGTCGCTACTATCGCGCACCTGAACTCATCTTTGGTGCTATTGACTACACTACAAAAATTGGTATATTAAAATTTAATAACGATCTTTGTTTAATATAGCATATTTATGTCTGTTTCCACAAATGTAAATTAATTTTAATTTCGGTTCAACTTATTTCTTATCTTTTTCCAATAAAACTAGAAAGTTCTTAATTAATCTACATTTTTGGGAACAGGTATAAATTTGAAAGGAGTTTATCGCTGACCTACTATTTATACCTACTATTTATTTCTTTTTGACCTCTAATTTGGAATATGTGTTCATAAAAATTATCTAACCCTGATATATATCTAAATATTTTGATATTAAAGAAAAACCGTTGAAATATTGATAGCAAGATTTAATAAAAATACATTAATTCATTTTCGTGCTTCTTTTATTATATTTTATTTTGTTGTAATGTTTCTTTTAATGTAACATTTTTCTCATTTCCTTGATAGATGTTTGGAGTGCAGGTTGTGTGCTAGCAGAACTACTGTTAGGTCAACCAATATTTCCCGGTGATAGCGGTGTCGATCAACTGGTAGAGATTATCAAAGTCCTTGGTACGCCTACGCGCGATCAGATACGTGAGATGAATCCCAACTACACCGAATTCAAATTTCCACAAATTAAATCACATCCCTGGCAAAAGGTAGAGTCTATTATTATAACTAATATAACTTGTTATATTAGTATAACTTGTATAACTTGTTAAACACAAATTGTTATTAATACATATTTATACCTGTATATCCAGCGAAATATTTCATATATTTCTTCATCATGTGATTGTTTCGTTTTGTTTCACACATGTCTATTAACTTTGTGATTCATTATAAGTAATTGAAAAGCTCATTTTTGTTTTAAATTCATAATTTTAATAAAACAAATAATATAGAATATTTTTTATCTTTGAAACATATAAAATATTTTAAAACAGAAATGTGAAAAAATATAGATTTTTCAGACAGGATAATAACAAAATAAAAAGTAAGGCTTTCCAATTAACTTTTAAAATTAAAGGAGAAAGTAGAATCGAATTTGATGTAACGTTTTATGAGGTTTTACATGCATTTTCGTAGGAAGAGATTATTTTTTCATATTTAAAATAAGATCGATGGCAATAACAATAGCGCCTCGATCGGCCATTGCCATTCATCAATACATGTCTCATGATTTGCAGTATATGCTTCAACGAATGAGTGAAACATCTATGTGTTCCACGGAGCACCAGAAGATTAGAGTAAGTGATTCGACTTGCAACAAGTGTTGTTCAATATGGCTAGCACAAACTTTCTCTATCTTGGCCCGTTGTACTAACATTCAAAATAACATCTAAACTTCGATATCTGAACGAGCGTGCAGAGTTATTCCCAATCTTATTTAGTCATTACTTAAAAGAAAAGGAAAATAAAGAAAAGAATAGTCTTCAAGATTTCCTTTACAATCAGTTATCTTCTTCATGTAACTCCTCATTGCCTAGTCACATCTGTTAACGACACTAATAATTTTTTATATTCGACTTCTTACATTTTACATTTGTTATGGCGACTTAAAATAATCGAGAGTATCACTTACTCTGATATTCTGGTGGTATTTGAATTTGATTTCAAACTTGAAAGAATGAGTAACATATTGTGGTCTTTCGTGTCTGTTGCGCAAAGACTTAGAGCTTGAAGTCTGTGTTCATTTTAAATGTACATATTCGTATTTAATTCATTATTGTATTGCTATATGTATGTATATACACATATATACACACGCACGCACAAACATATATATACAAAAAGACAAAATACATAAGGAGTTGCATATGTGTAAGTACATGTGTAGATTTCCAGATTATATACATTTTTCTTTGTTTTTATTGGATATTTGGGATACATTGCTCTAAATTGTGCAAATTACGGATGAGTATAAAATATGTTTTATGATGGAAAATTTTAGATCGATAAATTTTTAGTGTTAATATTAATGATCAATATCAATGTTATCTTTATTCATTATCGATACAAAGTATCATTATCTTACTTTCAGTTCTCAGCAGGTATCATACAAGTTTCTTAACCCTAGGACTACACATGACATTTTTGTACATGTATTACTGAATTTATCAGATTTATAGAGTTTTTTGGCAAAATTAGTGCACATTCAGTGTACTTTAAAACCGTTGTGCACAAATCGACATGAAGATGTACGTTCAATAAAAATATAGTAACGAATTGGGCATTTTATCAATTGAGATATCTCTTACTTCTATATTTAAATTAGAATAGTACAACAGCTTTAAGTGCATTGTGTGCGCACTAGTTTTGTTAATAAAAAACGCTATTAATCTTTTAATCTTATTTTTGGACGCAATTCTGATACAAAATATATTTTTCAATAAATTTGTTTATATTAAAATATCAGATATCATGAAATAAGATTATAAATAAAATTAAATTTAAAGTTTGTTAACTAAATTGTTAAATGTAAATATTTAAAGAAAAAATTTCTAAGAATAGCAGCAAATAGAAATTTTCGCCGGATCAAATCCAGGTATAGTCCTAGGGTTGGACGCCATAAAATGAAATGTAAGAACTGAAATTTTTTATACATACAAAGTGACATAACTAAAATCATCTCATTATGAATCTTTCAATAACATATCACTTTTCATGTCTACCATGCAGATAGTAGTGCTTAGAATCAATGTTTAATTTTCTTAAAGAGAATTTTGTAGATTTTATAGTGTAAAAAAAATTACGATACCTACAAAATTTACGACACCTACTGAGATTTAAAACTGAAAATTAAAACTGACAATTTACATGTCACTAACTTCTTGCTATTAATTTGTGCAATCTTCAACAATTCTACAACGCGCGCGCGCGTTAAATATTTTGAAAATAAAATTATTAAAATGAAAATAAAATTTGATCCGTATTTTTATTGCTCTTTTGGTACAGCTAGTTGATCAACGGTGAAGAAGCAAATAAATTTTATAGTAGCATAACGGAAGTTAGTCTCATTCTTACATATTTATAATATTCTTATCTTAGAAATACAAATGTATAACACAATATAATATGCATTATGGAAGAAATATCTAATTTTATACATCTGTCCTTCAACGTTGTCGTTGCGTAAGAATGCATAGTCTATTTGAAGAATGTAAGTCTATAATATACCGCACATATAATTGACCACTGCTGATAAACTTTCTTATTTTATTTATTAGGTGTTGGAATTAATTCGTAGCGTTTTTAATGAAAGAATGTTATTTATTTCACATGAGCATTAAAAAATACATTAATGAAAGTACTTCCCATCACTTGTAAAACGCTACGAATTAATTCCAACACCTAATATAATTTTATTTATTAAGATATCTATTTTTTACACACTATTTTTATATCTTTTGTACTTTAAGAGATCGAAGAAATACTAAAAGTATTTCTCACAAAAACTCGATATATATGTTGATTTTATCAATTAAATTAATCATATAATGCTACTAGAATTAATTAAACTTGCAAAACATTCATTACTTTACTAATGGTGCTTACATTCATTAAGCACCATTATTATAAATAAGTGTGCTACAAATGAAGGTCAGAATTTTTATTCTAAGTCAGTTCTTTAAATGAAGACTGACATTTCTATCTCCAAAAATTCCAACGAATATGTACAAAATACAGTAATTTTTCATATTATCCAGGGAAGATTTATTAGTACATTTAGTAATGAAAGAGAAAGAGTTGAGAATATAGCTTTTTGTCATGAGTTTGATGATAATTGCAGGTGTTCAGGGCGCGCACTCCACCGGAAGCGATGGATCTAGTGGCACGACTCTTGGAGTATACACCGTCGTTGCGCATGACACCATTGCAAGCATGTGCGCATTCATTCTTCAATGAATTACGCGAACAAGGCACGCGGTTACCAAGCGGCCGTGAATTACCGCCGCTTTTCAATTTCACCGAGCATGAGCTGCGAATTCAGTCGATTCTCAACAGCATACTGATACCCAAATACATGCAATCGGCCGCCGCCACCACCGGTACAGAGGGGAATCCCGGCGGGGGCGGCGGAGGCGGAGGTGGCCAGTCGGACGCCACAGGCGCCGCTGCCAGTGCTAGCGGTAATTCTAGTGATAATAGCGCCAACAATCCCAACACCACCACTAATACCACCGCTACCAACACGCAAAACACTGACCCCAGCCAATCGAACATGGCTTGAACCGCTTTATTCTATCTTCTATTTTTCTTTTCCTTTTTAACGTTATTAAAGAGTTGGGTTATGACGTTGTTACGATGGCATGACGAAGTAACCATCTTCTGACGAGGATGTCCACGTTGTAAATGCGATATACCGCATTGCGGAGTAAATAGATATAAGGTTTTCACCTTCTCTCTAGCGAGAAGTAGTGTAGTACTGCGATGCGATTCAGTGAAATTAAGGCTCTTAGTTCATCTTCGTAGATACCTCTATAAGTAGGACCAGAGGATCCTAACTCTCTTTATTTTGACAAAAACGGAAGTTTGATGAATTCATAATTTTTAGAGGACAAGGCGACGTCAATTAATTTCTTCGTCACTGGCTTTTTTATTGCCAATAGTGGTTGATTGACCAATTTCTGTAAATTAGATAGTCAAGTTTCTTCTATTTCAAGATTTATTTTGCATCTATTCTTTATTTATTTAAAGATAAAATTGCTATTCTTAACGGAACAGATATATAAATAGACGAATTTCTCAGATTCATAAAGATGTTTCTGAAAAAAATAATATAAATAATAATTATTAATAACAAGACAAAAAGGAGCAAATTATATTCATTTTATAATTGCATGAAATATATAGAAATAGAAGTGCGTATGTGTATATATAATATATATATATATATATATGTATGTATGTATGTATGTATGTATATAGATACGTGTATAGCTTTCACATAAATGTAACAAGTATAAATTGCGCATTCTGTTTAAGTATTGTATACACAATTTGTAAAAAAGGAAGCTTTGCTTATATCTTCTTCTTCTTTATCTAAAATAAAAGGATGTTGTGAGATTGCGTCTAAACTGACATAAAGTCAACGAAGACATCGAAAAATATTACTCTCTTTCTCTAACATTGTGGCTAGATAGAGAATGCACAATTTTTATTTATTACATTCGTAGATTCCAATATACGTCACATCTCGTTTCTCGTTAAATGAACTATTTTAGTTCGCTGTTTTTGAATGGTGGAATCAGGCGGCGTTGAAATTCATATTTTCTGAAATTCTTATTTTCTCTTTGCAAAGGGAGTTTGGAGCCTCTGTGTAGGCGTATAGTATCAACAGATTTTACACGTTAAGATAGATTATGTTTTTCATATGTTACAATATGTATTTGATAGAATAAATTTACGAAACATGCCGAAAATTCTAGAGAAATACCTGTGAAACTAGATCTGTCACAAAATTCATATATGGGACATGTATAAATCATACAATATTAATATATCTACAAAGGAGAAAGTTCGAAACTGTTTGCGAATTTATTCTGTCAACTGCGAATTGTCATATGTGGAAAGAAGAAATTAATTCAATGTGCATGCAAAAAAGAAATTTATGCTATTCTTTATTTTTGACATAAACCGATATTGTTACTGGGAGTCTTAATTTCGCTTCGTTGTTTTCGAATCGAATTTAATGTATATACATATACGTGTACGAACTTGTTTCTCTTTAACTTTAAATACCGCTGAATGCGTCTAATTAAAGGTAAACTAAGAGGATGTATAATCTAATGCGTCTATAGTAATGTCGTTTGCGTCGCCATCATTTTATATTTTAAGACATTGCGGAATCGAAGCTCGACAAAAATATCGACTTGAAGTGATTGTGAATGCTAGTTGAAGGATGCTATGTTGTTTTTTGTAGACTAGAACGACGCAATTTGACAGCGAATGCTTAATTATACCTTATGTATATATAAAAAATAAAATTCTTTAACACAATGACTGCTATATTATATATTATATGCATCATTTATATGCAAATGACACTCTTGTTTCTACTATTCAAATACGACGGCAAATTTTCATAAGCTCTGTTGTGCAATGATATTCTATGATAAAGAAAGTGAGATAAAGAAAATATATTTGGTTTCCTAGAACTTGTTTCTGAAATTGAATGTCATTTATATATAAATGACATGGCAGTCAATGTGTTAATTAACTGATAACGGTTAAATACACGACCCTAATTGAGTTAAAATACAGTCGAATGCCTGTGAACTCGTTAAGATTAAAAGAAAAGCATTTTATGTATTTTTCCTTCAGTCGGATTTTTCAATAGTATACAGAATATCTGGTAATTAATGTGCCATCTTTCGCGGGCAAATAGGAGAAATTAAACTGAATAAAAGTTTTAACATTTTTCGAGTAATGACTCAATAATTAATGAGACATTAATAAAGAGATTTGTGAATGAGTGTGCATCCGAGCATAACAAAAGATATCAGTGTTGTATTATTTATTGTTGGTAGATGCGCGTTCCTTCCCATATCTCGTTGCACAATTATCGCGTGACATTGTCTTCGACTGTTTCTTGCCGAATTGCATACTGATTTGCGAATAATTAATTCTTTAATTAATTATTCGTATTATTAATTACTCAATTCCAGTAATTAATTATTGAGAGCTTTATAAAAGAATATTTATACTCATTGTACAAATCATAGGATGACTTTACTTGTCTATGAGGGATGCGCCACTCAGGGTAATTACCAGACATATTGAATAAAAATGTATGCTCTTACCTGCTTTTTCATTGTATAATAATTATATAGCAAATTATGCGGGAAAAAATTATCTTTAAAAAATATTTGATTCACAGTGTGACCGGTATGTCACCGGAGTTGATTATACAGATATTCGACTGTAACCATATTTAATTATGTCTAGGCGGTTCTAGACAGAGTTCGATCTACAACATTAACTTGAAAAAGTACAGATGCTTGTTGAAAGAGGACCATCATACTGTTAAAGTAATTTGGCAACAAGAACAAATTACTTTATTGCTGAATTGACTTAAATGTACATACTAAATGTACATATATATTGGTTCCTCTTTAATCAACAATTGCTAAACATGATTCGAGTTGAAGACAAACTAAAACAATCTGTAATCAAATGTCTAGTAATTTATTAATTGCAAAATCAATTGGGAAAAACATCGATGACGTAAGATCATCGTGCTATGGACATCTATATATACATATATATATGTGAGTGTGTGTATATATATCGTTCCTTCTCTAACAACTGATAATTGCTAAACTTGACACTAGTTGAAAGAAAATTCAAAATAATTACGTAATTTAGCATCTAATATTATTTTAACGAATGAGAAGAAAGAACAGAAACCGATATAATTAAACATTTAAACTTAAATGATTATTTATATTCGTGAATACATGAAATGGTAATTTTCTTAAAATTTTTTCTTACGGAAAATTGTACTCGTCGAAATTATACCGGTTTCAAATTATATATAGCGTTATTGCAAAGTTTAGCTTGAGAGAAGGAAAGTAAAAATTGGAAATGGACTATAACATTCTCGATTCGTAACATGAGTTTCATTAAGCCGGACTGTATTTCTTCAAGATTTCAGTCAAACCGTAGACATCAGTATAGTACAGAACAATATAACAATGAATATGGTTATCGAGCGATAGTATCAATAGTAATTAATGTTCGCAAATCATCTCGACTGATATCTTGTAGACAAATGATCATGGAAGGGATACTCTATATTTTGTGTTCAAATTTTTAATGGATTCTTTCCGTTAATAACTACTGATAAAGAGAGATACTTGAAATATGTTTCAATATATGTACAAAAATGTCTCGGATAAAAAAAAATTGGTCGACTTGCCGCAGACTAAACACGGTGTCATAGTTGAAGAGAATGCTAGCTAACAAATTCATGTTTCTTGCCGGAGCATTTAGTAAAAAGACAAATATTAATTAGCCTATATCAGCCTCAACTCTTAAAATTGTTATCCGTAAATACTGTCGCTATACTATGATTTTTCTCGGTTTTTCGGCTTTTCAAATTCTTTTCTCTTTTTTTTTTTTAATCTAGATGACTTCTGATCGACTCAATGGAGCGATTTGTAATACTTTTAAGTCGATGACACATCATCATGGTGAATGGACTTTTTGACATGTTAATAAAAATCCTTCGATAATAAAAAAAGCTTTTTGTGCGTTATACATGTCCCAGGAATCAGTTACGTGGGAAACAGAAAATTCAAGTTTTTTTTATGAAGGGACGGGTGATAAGAACGAACACTCTTAGATTAAGAAGATACGCGCTTCTCATATTGCAAGAATTATGGAAAGGTTTGTAGCACGTACTATATATTATATAAAATAATAAAGACAAATGATCTTTATACATAATTTAGAAGGTATATTTATTGTTGAGTTATTATTGCCAACAATTTTTCAATATATTAACTGTTACGAGATACAAAAATCAAATTATTTATTAGTGATTTTTAACAAAATGTATAATTTCTGCAGAAAATTAATAATATAAATAAAATTAATAACATGATTTTCTAAATCTAAAAATTGAAAAATAAATTGATATTCATCGCGTTCCGAGACAGTTTAGTTATTTTATTTTAATATGTACAGTATATTATTGCGTTACAAAAGATAATATTTGAGTTCGGTTCTTCTTCCAAGAGAAGAAACCAAAGGTAAACGGAACGAAGTAAAAAAAGATATGAAGAAAAGGTTAATGATATATAAGAATTAGATGTTAATGTTCAAAAATTAGAGTTTTATCGATGTTGTATATATATTAAAATTAAATTTTTTAGTCATTAATTCTTTCATCTTTCTTTTTTATTAGTACTTCATCCTTTTTTTAAACATCAACTCTTTTTTTTAATTTTAATTAAAGAATTCGTTCTTCGGAACGTATTTTCCGGTTTTGAAAAAAGGAAAATATGTTTTTTATATAAAAAGTTGCAAACGAGATAGAAAACTGAAATTCACGTTTTCGCTGTGTTCAAATTTGAATTACAATTTTATACAATTAGAAACAAATAACATTATAAAAGTTATGAAA